TAAAACCCATTATAAACGAGGCATTTGTTGCATCCAGTGGGCACATAATTACTGATTATAATTACTTATACTGTGTTTTTACGCATTGTGTTACATCGCGCCACGTAAACATAAAACCATGTCTGCATTTGTGATCGGAGAAACGACAAACAACAAGCGCTACTCTACACTGCTCAAAACTCGCGTTTGAATCATCAGTAGCAAATTCTTTAAATATAAAAAACTTACAGTCTGTGAGTCAGAAGCGCCAGACTGTCCTTGCAAAGTTGGAACTGCCCCACTTTATGGAAACAACCTTTGTGCCACAGACGCATTAGGCTACTGGTTCAGAAAACCTCATCTCATCCTCGTCCTCATCCTCCATAAAATGTGCAGCACACATCTGAATATTTGGGTTGAACTGTTCTGGAACAGTGTTGTAAATACAACTTAACCACTGATTTCTAGTTGTGTCCTTTTTTGGAAGGCCAAACAAAGTATTTTTGCTTTCGCGACGAAACACACAGCGTCTTCACAACATGGCGGCGGCGGTGGCAGAATGAATTAAAAGTCTAATTATCGTATTATTCTAATTATTCTAAGAAATCTAATTATTACTTTAAAAAAAGCATGCAAACCGATTGCCTTGAAAAAACTAAGTAAAGTGAAATAGGAATAGTATGTTGTTCTGACAAATGCTTAGTTAGTATAGTTTACTTACACCAGAGTTCTAGTTACTAAAAAAGAACTGTAGGGGGTACTTGATCCTTTCATTTAGGTTTACTCATGACTTAGTATAGCTACACACTGACTCCCAGAGTGCATTGCGGCATGAATAAATTATGCAGTTGCTTTGTTTTACAGTTGTTGATTTTATTTGCCAATTTTATCTGCTGTCTTGTGTCAGTAGTAGCACAACAAAAAGAGCAAATAAAATGGTTATTGTTACAATTAATGATAATACACGAAATTGAATTGTTACCATTATTGTGATTCACGTGCTGAATGTTTAAGTCTGTGTATGACATTAGCATATTACCACACACTATTTAAGGATTATGAAAGCCCAATTAATTATATCTCAGGGAATTCATGAAAAAAACTTATCTGAAAAAGTTAAAACACAAACACTACTTTAACGTTTTTATTGGAAGTTAATTCACTTTCTAAAAGTAATCTATTTATTACATTTCTTTCCTTAAAATCCAATAATTCTGATTTCATGATGTATTACCGCATTAACAAGAAGAAAATTAAAACTTGTAAACGAAGTTCCAAGTGCCCAACCAAAGGGAACGCTAATCACTATAATGGTGCGTAAAAAAAAAACACATTTTAGGAAAATCAATATCAATTTATGAAGTTAGCTTATGTGATGTTCTCTCAAATATTTCAGTTGTATTGAGAATTCAACATTCAAGATGATTTTGGGAAACGAGTGAATGCAACTAGTGAAAGATAACTGCAGACATGGAGGAAATGGGTGAAAAGTCTATTAAGATGCGTTTTCTTTTCTTCTTCTGTTGTTATGTTGCACATTAGCAACATATTACTGCACTGCTGCCTCTCACTGGTTTATAATGTCATTGGTTCCTTTGTGACTACTTGAATATTTTAAGTAAGTGTCACTCAAAACAGTAAGTAAATTGCTTTATTGGCCTTGAAAGTAGCTGTAACTTAATAAAACCTAGTAAGTATAACAACTAAGTACAGATAACTAATTAAATCTAAGTAAGGTAAACTATTGGATTTTACAGTGTAGCCTGTAAAATTAGAAAGAAATAATTGGTTGATCAGACGCCCTAACTGCAGCTTCAACACAAAACCTAAAACCTTAAAGGAATATTATTATGCAAAGATCTTGATCCAAGGTCATGTTCTACTTGATGAAATCACAGCATCTGAGTCAAAATATGCACACTTCCATACTATGTAGTAGGCGAAAAACAGTATGTGAAGAGATTAGTATGTCAAAAATTCAGGGTATTCATAAAACAGTAGATGAAAAGCCACCAGCTATTTCTGGTGAGATTCTGAAATGCATATCTGATCATCTGATGGATACTTACTATCCCATGAGGCCACAGGGGAGGATTTGTGAATGAAAGTGAAGCAATACAACTGACGCTGTATGTCACATCATGACAATGACAACATGATGGATGTAGAATGTCCAAATTTAATTCATACTACACACATTCACACAGTATGCGATTTCAGACGCCGCTCATGTCTTACTAAGATCACTTTTCATATTTCATATCTTTATAACTGAGCAACAGTTTGGGTAAGTTACTTGTCTAATAAACACAAGTTAAAAGTTAATAATTACAAATCTTCCCAAAACCTCCCTGTGTTGACAACTGTTTGGGCTTTTGATTATGAAGGCAACTCTGCCATCATGTGGTAACAAAATAGAACAAACCTTTGTAGTCCTCCACTAAAAGACACGAGCACCAGGTTGTTGTCTCTCAAGAGTGCAAAACTTTTGAAAAAGGAATAAAAAACAAAGACTGGCATACATTTACAGTACAAGGTAATGAAATACCTTGTATCGGTCAGTATAAGATCCCTTTTCTCAATTTTCACTTTATCTGAGTAAAATTGGTTCTATGCTGTCAAAATTTGTTCAACCCTTTCCCTCTCTTTCCACAGAATACTTGGAACAGATGTTCTTTGCCAATTAAGAGTTTATGGAAATTGAGTAAACCCAATTGTTTCTTATTTACAGTGCTCATTCCACTTTTTTAAATTGTATTATTTTATTACTAGATGTTCTTTTTTATTATTAATATTGATGTAATTTATATTTTGTGCATCATTTTACATTTTTATAGTCTCATACTTTTATAACCATAATCTTTTTTATTTATAGTAGTAGGCCTACTACTTATTCCTAATATCTTGTATTTTAATATAGAGAAAATAATTCCCTTTGCATGATCAGATTGTAAAATAAGATAGCTGTTTTTGCGCACTTGACTTTGATACTTCATATTATACATTCTTTCAGTGGCGTGCACGTCTGATGCTAAAGTACCCTTGCGGTCCGGTCTATGTGCCCCCGGTCCGCGCGATTTCTGCCGAGGGTAGAATATGTGCGATATGAAGATTTTTGATCTTGACGATAAAAATGTCTCCACGATCTGCTTTTGAAGAAATATCGTTGTATCGTGCTACAGCGCACATTCTATCAGCTGCAGTTCTGGCGCCGCCGAATCAATATACTGTAGGCTACAACGCGACATACATTATCAGTGTTAACTCAGCGGTAGAGTTACTCTCACGGGACACTGCACTTATTCACAATCACATTCACAAAAGTACATTTTTTGCATCTGGTTTAAAGCCCAAAGCCCCGTTCACACCGCCAGCGACACACAGCGACAGAGCGACATAATCCCATTCATTTTCAATGGAGAGCTGGCGACTTCCAGCGACACGAGCAACAGTGACCATTGGCGGGGGAATGTGGGCGTGTCAAGCGATGCGAGTCAAGCCACAAAAGTTCAGAATTCTTCAACTTTATGCAAATAGCAGCGAATTTCGCCTGAGCGACAACCAATGGGAGTGAAGTCAGTGGAGAGCAAGTGATTCATCTGCTGTAGTGGAGTGTTACGGGGTAACTAGGCAACCAGTAGTGGGAACGCCCACTAGCGACCTCAGTTGCCAGCCACAAGCAACAAGCAGCGAAAAAGTCGCTGGCGGTGTGAACGGGGCTTTACTGGTTAAACGTTTCATTCGTGTGCTGTTCTGAGGAGCGCTTTTTCTGAGCACACCCAAGCGCGCGCACGAAAACGAAAAAGCCCGTCAAAGAGTGCCTGATTACTGAACTAAGTTATGTTTGTGCTAATACTGTCAAAAACACAAGGTTTGACTCAGTTAGTTATGTCTAAATTGAAAGTAAACAACTGAGAGAAACGGATGCGTGCTTGCACATCAGATGCGTGCAGGTCTTAAAGGGACAGTAGGCTACATGCTGCCGACTGTAATTAAAGGGATAGTTCACCCTAAAATTTAATTTCTGTCATTATTTATTCACTCACATGTTGTCCCAAACCTATATTAATTTCTTTCTTGTGCTGAACACAAAAGAAGGTAGTTTGAAGAATCTGGGTAACCAAAAAGTACTGGTCCACATTGACTTTGATAGTAGGGAAAAAATACTATGGAAGTCATGTGGACCAGCAACTGTAGAAGAAGGAAACTCATTCAGGTTTAAAACAACTTTTGAGTGAGTAAAATTAAGGTATAAAAATAAAACACTAGCCTATTTTAATTTTTGGGTGAATTATTCCTTTAGTCTTAATAAAACACCAAACACAAAGAGAAAAATCACTCAATAGGAATCAAGTTGTTTTAATAGGAATCAATGTGTATAGTGTTTTATTTTGATATTTGTTCATTCGATTTTTTTGAATGCTCCTGCTAAATACACTTAGTACCTGATAATAAAACATGATAATCTACCTGATAATAAAACATAAAACACAGTTTATTTTATAGGCTATTATGTGCATGTGTAATGTGTATCTTTGTTCTAATTTTTTAATAACAAAGATAAAATAATAACAAAGATTTTTATCTTCACCCACTTTGGCCTAAATATCCGCCATACTTTTTTATATATTTTGTTACCTTGAAAGGCTTTGTCTTTATAATAGGGAAATAAGTTTGGCTGTAATGCTCAACCAGCTTGCAAAATAGAAAAGCTAACATGACAAAGAATCGTGATAAAATCGTGAATTGTGATATAAAAATAAAAAAAATCGTGATATTTTTGCCATATCGCCCACCCCTAGTATATTTTGTTATTGTTACATAGGGGTTCTATAAAGTTCGTGTTTTTTAAAGTTGCACATACTTTTCCCACAGTGCCCACACCATGGGCTCATATTTTTGGGGGTCTCATGTGACATGAGGGTCCACCCTCATGAGGGGCTTCACTGACTCACATTGTTGCAATACAGTAGGTCCATACTTGCATGGGCTGGACACGTAACATGTATAAACTGCCCACTGACCGGATCTGCTATTTAACAGGTGTAGCAGCAAGTGCAACAGTGTCGTCTTTAGACAGATCTAGTCCGGGACTATGCGCTCAGTCTGGGGTTTAATTGCCTTGGTGGCCACGGCAACGTTTTACTTGTATCTGCTGTCTGTGTTCCTTCCGCCGGGTCCGCGTGCCGCCCTCTTTCACGACGTTCAACCTCAACACACCGCCGACGAACCGCAGGAGGAAGAACTCAGGTAGATTCATATCTTCGGTACTTTGTTTTGTTTTGTGAGCAGTTATTCCTACTTATGTTATTGTTTGTAGCAGAATTAATTATCTTTTAACTGTCAAATGGTCTTTTAAACTGTGTTTTAATAACACACTAGCTACAGGTAAGCTAAACATCAGAATATATTATTTTAATAATCTTGCATGTGGACACAACAAATGACAAAATGGGAAATTATTTCAGGTAAACAGCTACACAACATGCATAATTAAATTAAATTACATTTTAAGGTGAAACTTGGTAGACTGATGTTTCGTGGGCTACTTGCAATTCATGCATGATTTGCTATTTTTAATCGGATCTTTTTTTACTTAATAGGTTGTACCGGTTCACATCTATCACTGATATTATTAAGGTAAAGATTCAGTGAAAGCATCCCACTCGAAATATGAACGATCGAGTCCGATTAATGAACGAATCCGTGTTAGACCGGTTTTGTGAATCACAAGACCTGTCTAAACGATTCGCTCCTGCCGTTTTTTATTACTAGGCCTATATTTGTGGACAGGAAATTCATATAGATTTGTATTGGTTAGGCTATATAATATTGTTTTTTATTTTGCAGTAAGAAGCCTGCTTAAAATTGCAAGAGGAGTTTTTTTTTTACTAATTACAAATATACAGTTTAATATTAGGCTATTAACATTACAAATATCTTATTTACCATAACCATAGTCTCATCTGAATTCATAGTCTATTGCTATTATGACATCTCTTCATTAAAAATGTAGGCCTATCTGAATTACTTATAAGTTAACCTTGTAAATGTATCTATTTGAATGGGATTCAGTAACTTGATTTTTCATGTATTCAATTATTTAACTAATTATTTGTGATTTACATAGAATATTTTATGTGTTTACATTTCATGTTTGTCCTGGGGGCTTCTTGTCCAAGGTATAGGGGAATTTTTGCTATAACTGAACTGTAAAATGTTTCCAGTTTTTTTCCACTATTAATATATTGGATGATGCATAGTCATCATATTAAACTCATGCATGTTACAGTGTAGCAGTAAGGTCACACTGTTTCTAAGAGAAGCATCTGCAGTGCAGTTTATGACAGTGCTCGCAGTCACCTGTGGAACAACTCCCTCCCTCTTTTTATTAGTTCTCTCTATCTTCATTAATTTCACATTCTTCCATATTTGCCTGCATGTCTATTTGACTCGGTATTGGTTTATTTATTATAATATATAATTTAATCAATTCTGAGAAGAAGTAATGGAAGAATAAGAAATAAAATTAGAGAGAATGAGAGAGAGATGGATTTGTACTGTAGAAAGTGAGAAGCTTTGGCAGTTATTCTCTGATGGTGGCAAACATTCAGCTCCTGTTTGCCCTGTGCTCGCTCCTCATCAGCGTTACTTTATACTATGTGAGCAGCTCTGTGTGATGTGGGAAATCATAGATGCTTCATGCAGCAAAACTCTTTTTCTTCTTTAATGTTTCATCCGTCCTCTCATGTGTCCTTGGCAGGCACCTAAAGGAACTGATCCTTAGTCAGTTCTTATTATGCATCTGATTCTCAGATATTGTCTGCTTTGCATGTGTGTGACTGTATGCAATGAGTGAATTAAGGAGTCTGAGACCCCCTAGTTCCAGCCATAGTCCTGTAGTCTCTAACAATAGTGTATATATAGTATATATGTGTGCAACAATATTCAGTGTATCAGACTGACTAGAAAATAAACAAAAGCCCTGGCATGTTCCACTATTAGGAAATACGTGACTATAGTACTGTTTAAAAGTTGTCACTTTTGATCAGTTTAATACATCCTTGCTTTCTTTTAAAGGGATCATATGATGCTGCTAAAAAGAACATTATTTTGTGTATTTGGTGTAATGAAATGTTTATGCGGTTTAAGGTTCAAAAAAC